AACATTTATTTTTTATTTTACTCAATTGTCTCACAATCAGTTAATGTTATATCTAATAAATGAATCTAAAAGATTAAAGCTTGTAAAGTCTAATTTCGCTCGCGGAATTTTACTGCTCGCTCAAAGGCACTTTCCTCTCCGTCACCGCACGTCATAGCGCGAGTTGGAACTTTACGCGCGCAGATAGCACACCCCCTTGCAGGCAGGAAGCTACTCATCCTTGCCTGAGGAAAAGGCTGGCAAACTGATAAGGCCGCGGGAGTTACGCAATATTGTGATAAAGGCGAACGTCGTCCCTCCTGTGCGGGGTGATAAACGCGACGCGGGGGCTCGTAGACGCGCGCGGCGGACGGCGGGGCGAAGGGACGCGCGGCATCCCGTCGCGCGATGCGAGGAACGCTCGACGGGACATGGCGAGGCACCCGGGAAGAGAGGAATGCCGGTTAACGAGGATAAAGGGCACGGCGTAATGGACAGTGCGCGCTGAAATTCATGCCCGGCCATAAGAAAAATTGGACCCGCCGACGCCGCCACACCGCGCCGCGCCGCGCTTTTCCCACTGGTGAATTAATTCGTTGGAACTTATAACACGGTTTTCGCCGCGCGCGTGTGCCACCTAAACACGGTGTGGCCGATAAAGCGCGGGCGTCGTTAGGCAGGGGAGAAAGAAATTTCAAGTCGGCGACTTTCATTAATGAAGTTTTAAGATAAAGAACGTCATTGATCGTAACTTTGAAATTTGGAACGTAAAATTATCAAAATCTTATTTCTATTAGACTTCTGTTGAAGTTGAAGCTGCTGAAAATTAGTTTCACGTAAAAACGTTCGTTTAAATATATGTTTAATGTATTTGTTAATTAAATTACACACGCTTATTAAGAAAAATATACATATATGTTTGATACTAATTCACCTTCTTGAATTCCCGCTACATATCCAGTGGAACGTTGTGAAATTTTTAGCCGCAAAATATTTCGCGAATTGGCGGTGTCGAATGACGATAGAATTCTGTATCTCTTTTTTTTTTACAAAGATCCTCTGTATATTTCGAGAGATAAAATAATATTGCGTTTTGTGTGTTACTATCTGCAGAACGGTAGTGCGGGAGTTTTGACAGGTGTATCTTGCCGTGTTTATCCACGTTACCGCAGAATCCCATCGTAACGGATAAAAATCGCACAAGCGATTTTGGAGAAGATGCGATCTCAGCACGGATTATTTTCCTTTCCGCTTCAATCCGTTGATGCACTCGGCTAAGAGTACCTTTTCTCTCTCCGTTACCGTGCAAAGCCTGCGCACATACACACGCACGCACACGTGAAACTTTTCAGATACATTTGCAACGTCGCGTTGTACGCGTATAAAAATTTCCTGGAATTTCCACCATTTTTCCCGCCGTCAGAATGAGACGGGTCGAGAACTGACGTCGCGAGCTGGCTAATAATTATCACGGTCGTTGGCTAAGCTCTCATTTTCAGAATCGTATTTTTCCGAAATGGCCGGACATATTACGCATGCGAGACCCGTGAAATAAAATCCAGCAGGCCGAATTAATCGCCCCGCGATTCTACGATGGAACCAGCTGGCATTCGCGTACGTTAAATAGGTCGTTTCCAGGGACCTGGGAACGCGCTACCAGCGCGGCTGCAGAATCCGGATCTGCGAATTCGAAAAACCGAGAGAGAGAGAGAGAGAGAAAGACATCCAGGCCTCTGTCTGGATCTCTCATCCTCCTCCACAGCCCTTTCAGCATTCGTCCTTCTTGCTGTTCTCTCGTTTCAACTCTCTTTTTTTTCCAAGTGAGCGTTGACGCAACGCCAAATTGAATTGGGCCTCGCGCGACGGTTCGTGAATAATTTCGCGAGAGCACCCGTGTGTCGTCTCTGTCAACAATAATCGGCCAGTTGTCGCGCATCCCTCTTTCCATCTTGCATGCTACCTCTTTTCGCTGTGCGTTGCAGCCACAATTGCAACCGCGCGATGAGGACGCGATGGAAAAAAAATATAGGCAGAGAGAGAGAGAGAGAGAGAGAGAGAGAGAGAGAGAGAGAGAGAGAGAGAGAGAGAGAGAGAGAGAGCGATGCCGCCAGTCCTGGAATCGAGATTTTTTTCTCTTATATTTTACCCAGCGTGCGCGTGTATCGATTTATTCATCGCGGAAATCGAGCGTAACGAGGCACAAAATGCCTCCAAACATCGGACCCTGTATCTATCTGCGTCCAATTTTGTATTCCACCCTTTTCGCGTTCTTGCGGTCACCTCTCTCCGCCTGCTTTTTCCTTAAATAAGTTCCCATCATGAACAGTTTTATTGCTCAGTACGATTTCATTCCCCTGCAAATTCGCTACTTGTCACTTTAAATACAATTGAATTTCCCTAATACATCGCTATTGCTACAGCAGCCAGTTAAACATGACGAGGATAAAATTTATCGTTGAATTATATTTAACCGTTCCATTTCGCAAAAAGAATGAATAATTTATCAAAAAGTATCTTTTATTTTTAAAGAGGTCGGTTTTTCCGAGTTGTTCTGAATATAAAAGGATGCAATACAATTTCGTTAATCGATCATATAAAGATGAATAAATGGATTATAAATTAATTGCTATCAATTGATAAAATTCTTCTCATATTTTAACATATTAATTATAATTTTGAAAAAATATTAAAAAGATATTGACATAGTTTTTCGATATTTAGAAATAATTTTGGAAGATTAATTTTTATGAATTTTGGCAGGTATTAATAATATCTGTGTTAAATGGTATAATCCAAAATTTGTGATAAATAAAGTCAGAAAAATACGTATTTCAGTATTTTACGTAATAAAATATATCATCATGATTGGTGATGATTTCAAACAGACATGTGTTGCATGTGACATGTGCTAACAAATTTTTTTTGTATTTTACGTATTTTACTTTATTTCCAGATATATTGGCATATCTCTGACGTTATGTCTCGTGAATTTCATTTTACGTTTTTTTCTGACAAGGTTTAGACTTTAACCATCATACACTGCTATTTACAGAAAAACATATTCGCATTAAAAAATTGCATCGTGCAATCTTCTCGGTTATTTTCTGAAATGGCTTTGTATTATTATCACAAATGGAATATCGGCCTCGAACCATAATTTCCTGGCAATGCGACAGTTTATTTTCCCTCCCAGTACCCGTAAATAGGAAGAAAATGTAATGGAAGGACGCAAGACTGTTAACGGCCCCGTCTCCTTTCACGATACAATCAGTGAAAAATAATTGCCGTCAAAATCAACCGCTTACGCGTTCGAGTCTGTTTTAATTATCAAGCGCTCGCCACTAGGCCGATATTAATGGCGTGCGTCCGCTCGAACGTAAAGTTCTCTCTCTCTCTCTCTCTCTCTCTCTCTCTCTCTCTCTCTCTCTCTCTCTTTCTCTTTCTCTCTGCCGTTACTTTAATTGCTCTCAGACGGTAACGATCATTTGTTTAAGGTAGCCGAAAGTAATGCGGATCAATTCTTTCTTTCTTCTTCTTCGACATACTTTAACGAAATAAAGAAACAACGCTGAAAAGGAAACAAGCTTTGCGTTCATTATATTGATTTTCCTAATAATATAACATTTCCTAATAAAAATACATTTTTTGCATTTATTATTTTCTCTGTCTTATAAGAGAATTCACATTTTGTATCTCATAGCAACAAGATAATGCTATTTTGAATCGAAATTATACATATAAAATATGAAATGTTTTTGACTAGAAAGACAACAAGAGAGAATAAAAAAGTAAAATTTACTTTCATATCTACTTTGAATATTTTGAAATTGTGATGTTTAAATGTCTAGATATCTAGAAACTATTGACAATTCAAAATGTTATTTCTTAGAGATAATTAATCTACTTCCAGTAAGAGTATAAAATTGTATACAATATCTCACTCCGTGAAAAGAAATACGTACGAAGAACGTCTAAAATTTGTTAATTGCAGACATTATTTCAAAATACATTACGTAAGACGAGATTTATCTCTCTTCTTCTTATAGCCTTGTATCTGTTCTCACAGAATTTTTTTACTTTTAGCTATCTTTTTATCACTTTGCGAATATTATATTTGAGGAATGAAAACAATATAATAAAAGCGAATTCCGATATATTTGCATATTGAACGACACAACTCCATTTTGTTTATATAAAATCGCGTATTCATTGATTCTATATTAGAATTATCTTATTCTTGGAATAGCAGATCTTATTAACATTCCATTAATCTTTTATATGCCGTGCGGGGAAAATATCCCGCCCATAAAGGATTTTGCAATAACGTTATGATAATTTCGTCGGATATTTTATTCAACGTAGAGAACTGTGATTACTCAGCGTGTATAATCATGATAAATGTGCGGAACAAAGGACCGTTCCTCTGGGATCGACGTTAGACTTTTTACGTCCGACATGAATTGTATGGCGGACGTAGGAATTAAAAATCGCACACAATCCGACACCCTTGGCCAGGATTAACCCTGAAAAGCATTGCGCACTCGCAAGACCGCGCGATTGCGCTACATTATATAGAGGGGGCGCATTATAGAAAGTAATTTTGTTGTTACACGCCAGCGAAACTTCATAAAACCAGCGCGGGCGCTTTTTCCATCTGTCGAGCTTGCATTATTTCATTCTTTCGGTGTTTTTCATCCATTCCCGCTTGTTCATTCTACGCGATTTCGTCCGCGTTATGTTTCCGCGTCTTGCTTGGCACAACGGACGTTTCGCAGACAGAGAGCAGAATACATTAAATACAGAATGTTGCGTAATGGCACTGTTATCCTCGCTCTCGGCATAGCTAGATAACACGGCCGGCGTGGCGATGATGTTTTTTGCAAAGAGAGATTCGGATTTTTTTTCGGCGCCAACACACATCTCTCGAGCGAAGCTGTTTTAAAGTAGGACCAGTCGCGTTATATATGCATGAATCAATGTTCTTGTGTCGAATTTAAAATCTGTCTGTCGTTCGATTTCAGAATACCATTTTACCCGAGGCTGTGCACTTCTGGGAACGAGCATTAATGGTGCGGGAGACCAAGAGTACCATTAGATTGAACAGGTAAGCTTAACTCAAGCTTAACTTAATGGACCCATTCGTTCGTATCCTAGGATATTGTCCATTTTTTGCAACCGATGGTGATTTTGATTTAGACAATATTTCACTTTTCCTGCTTATATTAGGTAATAATTTTCAATCGATTCGTTCAATTTGCTTTAAGACAACGTTAAGTAATGTTAATAATAAATAATAATTATTAATAATTTTATTTAGTGTGAAACAAAGAATAGAATATTAGATACTTTTTTTTATAAATATATTGTATTCCAGTAGTAATAAAAGAATACTAACGATTGAAAAATGGCATTTTTTAAGATAATGAAAGTAGTGGGAGTAAAAGGAAATAGAGGAAGAATGTTAACGTTATATAGTATACTCTACCGAAATCCGTTGAATTATTTTATCTTAATATTCGTATGTACATGTTGCAATCGCAGCGTTTATTTGCATAGAGACCCAAGATGCTAAGCTGAAAGCGTGTGAATATGTATCGCACGTATTTGCGTTCGCATAACCGTTCATCTGATTTACCACTGTAGAAACACGTACTAGCATTATTACGGTCTTGCGCTGTGATGTGCATACTTGTGATGATCTAATTGCTCCGATAAAATTAACGTTCATTAAAAAAGTGATTGTTTGATATAAAAGATATGAGAATTCTATTGTTTAACGTTGATTTTAAATCTTTTATCAGAGAGACAATCTAATTAATTTTTTATTCTCCTAATTATTTAGATTTTATTACCATAGATTATTATGCAGTTTTATGAAATTTTAGCTCTCTAAAAATGCCAGAAGTTCCAATGTACTTAATAAATTGACTCGCCATGTCAAAAAATGCATAGAAGATATGAAATTTCCTATAAAAGTTTGATATATTCGAAATCTTTTTGCAAGCAACGTTGGCATCGGCTGCGTTGCTATAGACACATCGGAAAGAGATAAATGTTCGCCGTTCGTTCTCGACCCTTTTCCGGGCGCGGTAGCCGGCGTAGTTTGACCGCAGATACGCTAGCAACCTAAATTAATGCATCCGTGTCCGCCGACCAGATAAATAGAACACATGGAAGTGCATGGGCATAAAGTCGCGTGTACACATAACTGCATAGTTATGTGGTTTTCTGCGCTTGTAAACAAGCTCTACATTCCTCCCGTATTTCTAACGAGGCATGACTTTTCGCCGCGATGCCTCTCACGCGTTGGCACGGTATTTCCGAAACCACCGCGCGAATTGTCCCGCGTGAACAGCCATTCGCGAAGACAGTGTAGCTATGAGTTTTCCCGTGATTACAAATTTATGGTCCAGCATGTGGATGACTTATTGTTAGTGCAAAAATGTAACTCGAGATGCTAAGCTTTCTTGCATCGGGGGGATTTGACCTCGTAAATGGAATGTTCCCATAAAACAAGTTAACAACTGTATATGGATTGAAAACTTGAGGGAGAAATAATTTTATATTTTTGTGATCTCTATTTCTATAACTTTAAAAGTGACATTTACCGTTAAACATTATTTTAAAAACATTTTTTATGAAATAATATTTTTTTTATTGTATAAAATTAACTTTCTTGAAGAAATCTTTCCACATTTAACGATTAAGGTGAAAATAATTAAAAGTATATTTTAGTACATTAGATATAAGATATATATAGATATAAAATAAATATTTATACGTCATAATCAAATAAGTAATTGTACGTTCAGGAATTTATCCTAATTTATTCGTTTAATCATGTATGACCCAATCAATATTATTCATTTATTATTTCTCTCATTTTATTCTCGACATATTAAACTCAGTCACAAGTATAGCCTGAAATATATCTTTTATTGAAATAAATTGTGTTTATATATTCATTCGCATTTCATCTTTTATTCGCTATCTCTTGTGCTCATTTCTTTCTCTCATTCAATGCAAGAACATAAAAAAATTACGTGTGCATTAAATGCATCGTTTCATTAGTCTATCCTCAGCGCCGCTATAGACAATACTTGATAATGGAGCGATTATTCCCCTATCTAAGCCTACGGATGTCCCGGACAAAAAAAAGCTCTACGCTTCCGGTATTTACTGCTGCTGCGAGCAAAGGGGTGCTAAGGGTGAAAATTACGCGAGGGATGGCCACCCTCTCCCGCTTAAGCCACGGTCAGTGCAAATTCGATCGATCGGAATGGACGTGCGCGCGCGGCACGGCTTTCCTTAGTTTATCGCGCTCAAGCGAATATTTCGTATCCTTATAAGGGTGCTGACGTTCAGTGAATAAAAGGGAAGAGCTTATGGGAGACACGTGGAGGCGCAAGCCGGGAATGCCGGATATAATACAGAGAAACGCGTGAACTAAAATAAGACAAGAAGGAACGCGGGTTCGGTTCCCGGGCACATACATCAATCTCTTGCCAACTTTCGTTCCTATTGCTGCCAATAAAAATCCAGGCGGGAGCTCGTGGTAATCTTCGCGTGTCAGCTGCCTCCTCGCGAAAAACTTTGCGCGTTTATCGATCTCCTATGTATCATTATATACTATTTTTCCCGTCACGGCTGCGGCGCAAGCCGGAGATAAGACATTTGCCATTAAAGTATAGGTTCAATAGAGCTGATCGAGTATCCACGCGAATGAAAATGTCAAATTGCGGAAAACCGAAAGTACGAGTGACATGCTTTCCGCTAGTTACATACATTAAGATTTTTGACGAACGGAATTATGTATTCGTATAAGTACTGTAAATTGCGACAACCTATATATAGCTTTAGCAGAATTAATTTTAAGTTACAAGAGGAAAGAAATCTCGAATGAAGTTCATATAAGTGGCAGAAACGGTTTATGTATTACACTTCTAGCGACAATAGAGATGTGACGAGTTCTGCCGCAACAAAAGAAGTTGTAGAACCATCAGAGAAGTATCAGAAAATCAGTATATCATTAGTAATAAGATATACGATGTTGTTGATATGGATTTTTTGTTTTGTTATTTTCATGGAAATGTTAAAAATCTTTTGCTTTTTTATTGCTTTTTAACTTTAATGTAAGATTAGGATATTTTTCCTAGCTATTTCTCCTAGAAATGATTTATAATAGAACGATGGAATAAGAAGAGCAATTTTCCGTGGATATCTATTCTCATATAAAAATTTGACGCGATCTTTTTTATATAAAATTTCTTCAGATAAAAAGAAATTTTATAACTTTTTATTATAAAAATATTTTACTTACAATAAATTTGAAAGACAAGTACTTTACTGCAGATATTTAAATTTAATTTAGAAACTGCTACACATTGTTAATTATTTCTGAGCCTGAATATAGCTGATAATGAATATAACTGTTACACGATTTACGACACAAGTTACTGCAGGATTTTTATAAAATAATTATCTTCAAATAAATGTCTTTTTATGAAAAAAGCGAACATTGCAGGCACGCAATTTTTTCACAAGCCGTTAAGAAAATTGCATTATTTATTTTGCAATTTCCCTCCTTCCAAAGATTAATCGTGTCGAAATATCGTATACAATGCATGCCGGATTATGGACGGGCAGCACATTAATTCGTGTCGGTCTTCACAAAAGGTAAATGTAATGCCTGTCGCTCAGAATGCAGAGTGAAATCGGATCAAATGAAACCTGTGCACGGGGGTGCCCACGCATACAAGCGCAGGATTGCGTCGGGCACGCGTCAAAGGAGATTCGATTTGAAAGTGAGAGAGTGAGAGAGAGAGAGAGAGGGAGGGAGAGGGAGAGTGAGGACCGGTTGCGTTTAAACGGGGCGAGCACGCGTGTAACGTTTATCGGTCGAATGCGCGCCACGATATAGTCGACAGGGGCCAAGGATTGTGGAGGATGATTCGCGGGTCGTTTACATAACGCGATATTACGGCATAACGACTGTAACGCTTTAATGCACTTCCGGACCGTGCATTGGGTTACCGATTGAAGATGCTTCGAGAGCCTCTTTAGCCGTTTGCATGGAAGCGGTTTAGCCTGCGCTGTATCTCCATCTCTCCCTCTGTGCTTTGAATTGTACGAGCAGATTCTGTTCACGTCTAAACAATGCGCACAAATCTGAGTATCGCACAATCTTCGATAGAGACATAATCCATTGTCTCTTGAAACATTGTTCAAGCTTTTGCGTTATTATATATATCTAACCGATCTATATTGTATTTCCTTTTGGTTGTTTCTGTTTTTAGCCTATCTGAAATACGAAATAATTTCAGTATATATCTTATGCAGCAAAGTCTTTTATAATTATTAATAAAATAAAGAATTTTTATCAATAAATTTTCCGAAATGTGTATAGCTTTCTTTACACAGTATAGGTATTTAAAAAGTATATATGTATATGTAACACACAGTTTAGACAGTTAATTTGAAATGAAATATTTTTCGCTTTGTAAAAGATATTTCTTAAGTACGGCTGTTATAAATATTATTCACAATATCTGCAGTGTTACTAATGGATGTAAAAGGGAAAAATGTACCGGTGACTATGTATTTATGTTCATCCAACAAGATGAAACAACAGTAGTAATTTTATGTTTAAGGCGGCTGTATACGTAGGCTAGTACCTGGGGAACCTGAATCCTAGCAGCAAGGGGTGTAATTACTTTGCGTCGAACATAAATCTCACATAACGATGGAACGCGTTAACGTCCGCTAATAGCATTAATTAGAATGCCCCTGCGGGTGTACGCGCTAACGCGAATTGTATATCTTGCAATTAGGCCAATTTTTTCGGTATTTCCTACTTTTTGTGTGGCCGCGTCCCTGTGCACGCTACTAATTATGCTATTCCGTGTGTGTGTATGTACGTGATATCATAATTTGTATTTTAAAAAAGAATATTTCGTCTATTAATCAATATGCAATATTGCTCGAGGATATAAGTTATAAATTGGAAATTTTATAAAATCAATTTTTTATTATATTCCTTTAGGCCAATATTTGTATCTCGATGATTCCACCGATCAACTTTCGTTCCCATATTGTCAAGCGTAA